GAATAGAAAAACAATACAGAAAAGCTAAGGAACAGTTATTTGAAAAGATCAACAAAATTAACAAACCTTTAGTTAGATGGGGGGGGAGGAGAAAATTACTGAATTTAGAAATTAGAAGTGAAACTACTGAAATTAGAAATACAAGAGGAGTTATTTTGATAGGGATTGCATTGAATGGGTAGATTGTTTGGGGGTAGTATAGACATTTTAACAATATTTGTTCTTCCAGTCTATGAGCATGGAATGTTTTTCCATTTTTTTGCGTCCTCCTCAACTTCTTTCATAAGTGTTCTATAGTTCTCAGAGTACAGCTCTTTTACCTCTTCAGTTAGGTTTATTCCTAGGTATCTTATGGGTTTTGGTGCAATTGTAAATGGGATCAATTCCTTAATTTCTCTTTCTGCTGCTTCATTATTGGTGTATAGAAATGCAAGACTTCTGTGCATTGATTTTATATGCTGTGACTTTGCTGAATTCCTGCATTTTTCACAGAGCTAGAACAAACAATTCTAAAATTTGTATGGAACCAGAAAAGACCCCAAATAGCCAAAGTAATGTTGAAAAAAAAAAAACAAAAAAACAAAGCAGGGGGCATCACAATTCCAGACTTACAGCCATATTACAAAGCTGTAATCATCAAGACAGTATGGTACTGGCACAAAAACAGACACATAGATCAATGGAATAGAATAGAGAGCCCAGAAATGGACCCACAGCTGTATGGTCAACTAATCTTCAACAAAGCAGGAAAGAATATCCAATAGGAAAAAGGTAGTCTCTTCAACAAATGGTGTTGGAAAAACTGGACAGCAATATGCAGAAGAATGAAACTAGACCACTTTCTAACACCATACACAAAAATAAATTCAAAATGGATGAAAGACCTAAATGTGAGGCAGGAAACCATCAAAATCCTAGAGGAGAAAACAGGCAGCAACCTCTTTGACATCAACCAACTTCTTACTAGATATGTCTCCTGAGGCAAGGGAAACAAAAGCAAAAATAAACTATTGGGACTTCATCAAAATAAAAAGCTTCTGCACAGCAAAGGAAACAATCAACAAAACTAAAAGGCAACCTTCAGAATGGGAGAAGATATTTCCAAATGACATATCTGATAAAGGGTTAGTATATAAAATCCATAAAGAACTTATCAAACTCAACACCCAAAAGATAAATAATCCAATTAAAAAATGGACAGAAGATATGAATAGACATTTTTCAAAGAAGATATACAGATGGCTAACAGACACATGAAAAGATGCTCAATATTACTCATCATCAGGAAAATGCAAATCAAAACCACAATGAGATACCACCTCACACCTGTCAGAATGGCTAAAATCAACAACACAAGAAATAACAGGTGTTGGCAAGGATTCAGAGGAAGGGAAAACCTCATGCCCTGTTGGTGGGAATGCAAACTGGTGCAGCCAATGTGGATATCAATATGGACGTTCCTCAAAAAGTTAAAAATAGAGCTACCCTACGGCCCAGCAACTGCACTACTAGGTATTTACCTAAAGAATACAAAAACACTAATTGAAAGGGATACATGCACCCTGATGTTTGTAGCAGCATTATTTACAATAGCCAAACTATGGAGACAGCCCAAATGTCCATCTGATGGATGGACAAAGAAGATGTGGTATGTACACCATGGAATATTACTCATCCATAAAAAAGAATGAAACCTTGTTATTTGCAAGGACATGGGTAGAGCTAGAAAGTATTATGCTAAGTGAAATAAGTCAGTCAGAGGGACTCTCCTGCCCCCTCTGGGCTGGGGAGCTATGACGAGTCACAGGCATCCTCTGGCTCAATTCACCACTTCTTAGTAATCGCTTCACAATAATCACTTCTTAGATCTCACCCAGGAAGAGAGACTGAAAATCTTTCATTATCCTTTTTTTTTTGGCCTGGGTTTTCTCCAGTTTTATTAAGATTAATTGACTATTGCAATTGCATATATTTAAGGCATACAACTTGATGTTTCTTTTTTTAATATTTTCCATTTATTTATTTAAATTTATTAATTAACATATAGTGTATTATTAGTTTCAAAGGTAGAGGTCAGTGATTCATCAGTCTTATGTAACACCCAGTGCTCATTACATCCTGTGCCCTCCTTAATGCCCATCACTCAGTTACCCCCTCCCCCCACCCTCTCCCCTCCAGCAACCTTATTTCTTATTATGATTAAGAGTCTCTTATGGTTTGTCTCCCTCTCTGATTTCATCTTGTTTTATGTGTATACATTGGTAAATAAGGTAGAACAAGCTAATTAACATGTTTATCACTTAAAGTAGTTATCTTCTTTTTAGTAATGAGAACATTTAAGATAACCCTCTTAGCAAATTTCAAGTATACAATATAGCACTGTAACTACAGTCACAGTTTTATACATGAGATCCCCAGAAATTACTCCTTTTTTATAAATGAAACTTTGTACCCCTTGATCAGCATATCCCCATGCCTTGGCAACCACCATTCTGCTCTCTGCTTCTATGAGTTTGACTATTTTAGAATTTACATATAAATGAGATCATATAGCATTTGTCTTTTTCTGCATCTGGCTTATTTCACTTAGCTCTCATTTTCCACCACAGGAGGGTTTATGGGACTTTCTATAGTCTGCCATTTTGCTGATGTCACTCCTGAAGTCTCATTTGTACTCTCAGTAACCTTAATCTCTTCGATCATATTTGTTATAACATTTTCCTAAAGACATAATTGATATATAACATTGTGCAAGTTTAAGGTATAAAACATGTTGTTTGATACATTTATATATTGCAACATGATACCATTATAACATTAGCTTAACAGCTCCATGTCCCATAATTACTTTTTCTTTTCTGCGCTAACATTTAAGGTCTAGTGTCTTAGCAACTTTGAAGTATATAACAATATTAACTATAATCACAGTGCAGTGCATAATCCCCAGAACTTTTTCATCTTCTAGGTGCAAATTTGTACCCTTTAACATCTTACCAATTCCGCCACCTTCTAGCTCCATCGTTAAACTTTGTTTCTCTGAATTCAGCTTTTGCAGATTCCAAATACAGGTCATTTCTTCTAGGTTTTTCAGTTTTTTGGAACACAGATGTTTGCAGTAGTCTCTTATGATACTACATATTTATTTGTTATCAATTTTAATGTCTCTTTCATTTCTGAGTTTATTTGGGTCTTTTTTCAAAAGATTTTATTTATCTTGGTTTTTTTTTTGTTTTGTTTTGGGGCTTTTTTCCCTCCATTTTTATTCTTTTTCTTATGTTCAATTAGCCAACATATACTACATCATTAGTTTTCGATGTGGTGTTCAACGATTCATTAGTTGCGTATAACACCCAGTGCTCATCACAACATGTGCCCTCCTTAATACCCGTCACCGGGCTACCCCATCCTCCCACCCCCTCCCCTCTGTAACCCTCAGTTTGGTTCCCGGAGTCCAGAGTCTCTCATGGTTTGTCTCCCTCTCTGATTCCCCCCTTCAGTTTTCCCTCCCTTCTCCTGATGTCCTCCCTGCTGTTCCTTACGTTCCACATATGAGTGAAACCATATGATGATTGTCTTTCTCTGCTTGACTTAGTTCACTTAGCGTAATCCCCTCCCGTTGCATCCATGTAGATGTAAAAGTTGGGTATTCATCCTTTCTGATGGCTGAGTAATCTTCCCTTGTATATACGGACCACATCTTTCATTATCCCTATTACACTTATCCTAGGAGACTGAATATACAGGGAGACAATGGCCAGACCATATATAAAAATAGGATTCTGACTCACAGCCTGCAGCAGCCTTTCCAGGAATCCAAACCCTTGTTTACAATAAACATTTATCCCAAAAGTCAGCCTGTTTTAAGTCAGACTTATAGAAAACCCGACTACTATCTCTAGTAACATTCAGGAAGCAGGACAATGACTTCTGTAACAATCAACCCAGAATGGCCAGGACATGATGAATAACTGATAGCTTCCCTAATTTTTCTCCCTGCTTCCAACTTATAACCAAAGAGAGAAAGCCAGATATGCTCCCCTAACCAGTCATGTGGGAGACCCTGCCTTTAGTTAGCCACCTCCAGCCTCACCATGCCAACAGCTTCCAGTCAGGTCACACCCGAAGCCATCCCTCTTCTCCACTATGAAGCTTTCCCTCCTCCTCTGTCTGCCTTTGAGTCTCTGCTAAACTCAAGTGACCACGGCTGTGACTCCCTTGCTCTAGCAAGCTTTGAATAAATAGCCTCTGCTTTTCTCATTTGTTTGGTGTTCCTTTATTTCCACAATCCTGAATGCATGCATGAGGTTTCTGGAGCAGAGGAGATTAACTATTATTTACTTACAAGCAAACAATAACCATGTGGTTCCCCTGAAAGCTTAAAATTAAAATGCATCTCAGTCATGACCAAAACCATGTCCTTAGATTGGATGCCTCCTCGGGATCCCCAGGGGAAATGGTTAAAAATTCACACTCAGAGTTTCTAATAGGGCGGGTCCCGGAAGGGATGGGAGGATAAATGAGCACTTTTTTTTAGCCACCTGCCCAGGTGAGACCAACATGCAGCCTCAGCCAGTGGAGAACATGGAGCTGCTCTTTCATTTCCTATGGATGAGAAACCTTGAATGGATGTTTTTAACCAAAGGGTGAGACCCACAACAGAGATGCAGAGCGAAAAACAGAATATGTGCATGTGTATTTGTTTAATTATTCAGTTGGCAGTGTTCTCAATAGAGTGAAGCTGGAATTGGCTCTACTTTGCTGCCTCAGACACACATAAACACACTTGCCTTATCTCCAGGAGCTGGTATGAGTGAGTGATATTTGTAACAGGATATCCCAGGCTCTGCTTTAGAAGAGACAGTTCAGGATATGAGTGGCACTGCTCACCACAAGGAAACTCACGGAAACCCCTCACAGACCTGGATCCTGGCCCTTAGGAGGTCCACAAGACTGAGGAATAAGGAATAAACCCTAACTAACTCTTCTCTGCCTCTCCCCAGGCTCTCAATGGCTTCCTCATGGCTGTTACAGAGGATGGCTATGTTTTCTACGTCTCTCCCACAGTCCAGGACTACCTGGGGTTTCATCAAGTGAGTGGTTTTACTTTTCATTTGAAGAGTTTGGGTGAATCTAGTTGGGAGGGGAGGGAGACGGGGCCATGTGATGCTTGTCTCCATGGGACTGTAATGGAATTTCAAAGAACGGGGTCTCCATCTCAGTCTCTCACATGCACATCGTAAGTATTCAACTGAGCCTTCCCAGAGTACTGACTTCCTCATCTGGTGAAGGGCATGGTAGCCTAGATCCTCTGAGGAGTAGATGCCCAGGCAGGATGAGATGAGCAAGAGATTCCTCAGGAGAAAATCCTGGGAGGGAACAGGGGTTGGGGGCAGCAGGTCTGACCCTTGGGCAGGAGACAGAAGGAATGGAGGTGGGTGGAAGTGTCTTCAACTGCAGTACAGGGTCATTGGGGCATCCTCAATCCAAAGTCGCCCAGCAGAATGGGGCATCCTCAATCCAAAGTCACCCAGCAGAAAAGCCCCTCTGCTCCCAGGAATAGGCCTGCCTTGGTGTCCTTGCCAGGCTCAGTCACTGGCTGGGAGCAATCTGTAGGAAGAGTGGCCCCAGCACAAACAAGTGTGCATCCAAGAGGGGCAACCTCACATGCACCTCAGTCAGAAACCTGAGAGGCACATACTCACTTCTTGTGCTGCGCAAATCTACTCCTCCACAGGAGGAATTCCCATGAGCCTTTCTCCCTGGGGGGACCTCAGGAAAGAGAGGTGAGTGGGACAAACTGTAGATGGTCTCAGGGTAGCACCTGGCCCTCCTCTGCTCTCCATTCTGAATTCTGCTCACCCTCAGCCATCACCTCAGCACATCTCAATGACTTAGCTGAGTGTTTGATGCAAACCTTCACTCCTGAGGGGTCTGAGTCCGGGGACCCAGTGCCATCATGGTCCTCACGTCAGGGTGAAGGCCCACTGGGGCCAGATAATACATGAAGTACCAGCTCTAGTCTGGTTCACAGCAAACTTACCAAGTCCAGGACCCACCCAGTGGTCATTTGCCCATTTCCTGAGCATGTAAGTGGAATTAATCTAGTTGACAACTGGAGTAACCCCCAGACTAGGTTCTTGGCCCATAGAGTGAGAGATATCATAGTAGAAAAGTCCAAGAGGAAACCCTTGAAACTACCCCCTCCAACTCCAGTCAAGATAGTAAATCACAGGCAATATCATATCCCAGGGAGGTCGTGGAAAGTAGTGCTGTTCAGTAGAAGGCATGGTCAATCTCTTGAGTATCTTGAGTAAATACCTTGCCATGGCATTGTAGGGCCCTTCTACCTAGGGACCATGCCACCTCTTCAGTCAGTGGATTTCAGATCTGAAATTTGTCTCAGGTCCAGAAACTGAGCAAAGGATTGTCATTTTTCATCCAGGTAACAGCCCTCAGTCTCCTGACTTTGCATTGTTGCCTTTAATTGTAGATGTTAAGCAGTATCATTGTTGGCTGCCCATCTCTTTTGCCCCTTGAGATGCCATGCTCTATTAACCCACCCCACAACTCCCTATGGTCCAAGCCCCCTTGATTATTTCTTCTGCCTTGCTGGCCATCACTGTAATTGAAGCCATGTGGCCTCTCCTACCTCAGGGCTCCATCATCCCAATGGACATTCATGAGCCCAGCCCAGTGTCTTCCTCTCCTTCCATCAACCCCGACCTACAAAGGACAATCACCTACCACCAGATTTCTTAGTGGTGTTGATGTCCCTCCAATATTGCACTCCTTGTGGCCTTGGTGTATAGTTTGTCCCTGGGCCCTCCCATGGTATGCAATCTCTGCTGGGTCTTCTTGACTAATGAATTGCATTCATTCCAATACACCCGTTTCCCTCAGCCTTTTTGTTCCTTCCTCCGCCATCTGCCAGAACAACTCAGGTATTACCGCCTCACTGACCACTGGCTTCTCCCAGCATCTAAATCTAAGAGCCACCCCCGCAATTGGTTTGTCCCATTTCCTGAGGTTCCTGCCAGGGTATAAAATTGTGTGTCCTGAAAATTCTGATATGACCCTAGGGAAGGAGAATTAGCCAACCGTACGGCTTTAAGGAAATTGGACAAGGCCGAAGGGGAGCCCTCAAGGCCAAGCTGCCCATCAGAGAAGTCCCGTCTCCCAGGAACAGGCCTGCCTTAGAGTTGCTGCCCCAGTGGATTTCAGTGGGCAGCAGCTGGGACACCTCTGAGTTATACTCCCTGTAGCTGGAGACCTGAGGGACATTTTCATGGCCTGCTGCTAAGGGAAGACAGCCCATGCTCCACACAACTGCTGTGCAGACTGAAAACAGCAGGGCCTGTGCAAGTGCAGTGTGCACCAAAAGCACCATGTGGTGGAAGGGGCTCATACAATGCCATGGCAACAGAAGGTTTTCTGAAATCAGGGCAATAGGAAGACTCAAAATCCCCCATCTCCACCTGCCACACGTTCCCATGCCCACCCTGCACCTGTGCAGTGCAGATCATACCCAACACCAGCTCTGGACTTTACCCCTCACTTGTGATGAGAACACACTTGCTGAATTTTACAGTCGTTTCCCCTTTATTTTGTTTAAATATTTTATTTATTTATTTATTTATTTATTTATTTATTTATTTATTTGGGAGAAAGAGACAGAGATAGCGAGAGAGAGCACAAGCGGGGAGGGGAGGAAGAAGCACTTCCCACTGAGCAGGGAGCCCGATGAGGGGCTCTAACCCAGGACCCCGAGATCATGACCTGAGCTGAAGGCAGACACTCAACCGACTGAGCCACCCAGGTACCCCTTCACCTTTCCTTTAGGAAAAAAAAATGTCAGTACCATTGTGCTGTGTCTGGTTTTTAGATGAGAATCTGAGAAGGAGTTTTATTTGTCAAAGGCAGACCGGAGGCCTGAGCACTCGCCATACCCGCACCGTCAGCATTGAGCTACCTGCTTCTTTGCTGTTGCTGAGGACAAACATGATGTAGGGGAGGGTTCAGAGACAGGAACCTCTAGAAAGAGGAGCTTCCAAAAGAAATAAAAAATAAACTTGGCTAAAGCCCTTCATCTCAGAGAAATGCTGTGGGTTTTTCTGTGTGGCGTGGTTAGGAGAGGAGGTGCTGCCCGGCTGCGATGCCTTTCCCATTCAGAACCTCCAGGGGCAGTGAGCAGAGCTGCAGACAGAATGACGGCAACGCGGGTGAACAGGAGAGAGGTCAAGGTCACAGCCTGGGTCCTCTGCCTGTGTACACAGCTCTCCCATACCACTACTGCATGCAGCTGTTTTGGGGGGTTTTTTTTAAAGATTTTATTTATTTATTTGAGAGAGAGAATGAGAGAGAGAAAGCAGGAGAGGGAAGAGGGTCAGAGGGAGAAGCAGACTCCCCGCTGAGCAGGGAGTCCGATGCGGGACTCGATCCCGGGACTCCAGGATCATGACCTGAGCCGAAGGCAGTCGCTTAACCAACTGAGCCACCCAGGCGCCCTGCATGCAGCTGTTTTTATAGAGCGACCAGGTAGAGGCAGAGAGCACCAGCATATTGGGTGCTGAGCTCCGCTAGAGCCCTGTTGCATTCCTCCACAGGGTCTGTTCTGTGTTGCCCTGGTGGTCCCCCAGAAGCCTGCCTCCCTTGGCCTCAGCTCCCATGCTGCCATCCCTGTGATTTCTCCTCAGGTCTTCATGCCACTGGCCCTTCACCTCCTTCCAGCCTGGAGGCCCACTCAACATCGTGGTCCTTTCATAGATTAGACCAGACCCTTATAAATATTTAGCACCTGCCATGTACTGAGATGGAGATGCTCCTGGAAAGTTCATTTTCCCTGAATTTTGTGCAGAAAATGGTTATATACAACAGGTTCCTAAAAATCACGCTGTGTGTGGGTTGGGGGATGCAGGGGAAGAGTGGGTAAACTTATTTGGAGTAGAATTTAGGCCATCAGAACTTTTTAATGCCAACAGAAAACTTTCATCTGCACTTAATTCCTCTCAGAAAATCAAGAAGAATGCCAAACTTTACCCAAATAAAACATAATTTAATAAATGGTTAACTATAGGCAAGGGTAGAGAGACTCATTACACTTTTTAAGTTAAACCTGTTTGATTTACAAGGAACACACTAAGATTTCCCAAGGCAAACTGGTCTGAAAACTATTTAACATTCTCTTTAGGTGTAAAATATTTGCAAAATTTGTATGAAGACAGGATACCTTAATTATTGTTCATGTTCAAGTCACTACATTGCCAAACCCTTCTTTTGAGTCTACATTAGCATTTATATTCACTCATCTCCTTCAACAAATGACAGAACAAACTTGGATCTCCCTGGAAATGAGATCTTTGCTCTAATTCAGTCTAATTAAGTTATCCAGGAGAGCTGATGACTGACTTCCCGGGAAAGTCAACATTCTCCTTCCACAAAGCTTTCAGCCAACTCTCCAGGGCTACTTCAGTGGCTTCCTGTGTGTCTCCCCACCTCGGACATCTCCCTGATGATGATGTGTGACTTGTCTGCTAGGCAGTCTCTCTTTTTTTCCCTTGGCCCCAAGAACTGCCACCCTTTTCAAGACACAATACAGGCATGGCCTCCAACACCATGGGAGTGCCCATCTCATGGGTATTTTCTGGGTCTGGGGGCGGCAGCAGCCTGAGAAGTTGGCTGTGCAAAACCAGAAGAGGGAAACAGGAAAGTATGCACCAGCCTCCAGGATGGGGAGGGACAAGGACAGGTGGGTCCAGGGTGCCTGGAAGGGTCAGAGGTGCTAGAGATGACTCAGGGACATTTGAGGTGAACAGGGCACACACAGCCTCAGAGCGGCAAGAAGCATCCCCAGGAGTGCGATGTTGTCACTTGGTCTTTGCAGTCAGATGTCATCTATCAGAGTGTGTTTGAACTGATCCACAAGGAGGACAGAGCCATGTTCCGGAGCCAGTTTCTCTGGCCTGCAGATGCAGCACCTGTCAGCAGAGAGGGTGAGCAGGACATCCACCGTAAGTCACCAAGGCTTGTTGGGGGGGAGAGCTAAACGCAGAATCAACCCTGTACATGTGTTTCAACCCTTATAGTCCATGAGGAAGAAATCAGACCGGGAAGCCAGGCTTTCTCAGCTCCAATGTATATTTTGTTAAGCACTGATGGAGCACTCACTAAGTCCCAGGTGTATGAGGGGAAGAGAAGAGGAAGGGCTGCATCGGGAATCAGGTAGTGTGTGTTGGCATAGGACTCTGCATCCTTCAGAACCATCTCATATCTGTGAGCTCATGTGGTCCTCCTAGGAACTAGAAAATACACATAAGGCATGAGCATCTGTTGATTTTACTACCAGTAGGATACAGGGAGGGATTTTTGCAGAACTTGTTCACTGCTGTATTCCCAGTGCCTAGAACAGTACCTGAGACAAAGTAAACATATAAATGTTGAGATGAGGAAAGTGATGTTTGCCCAGATGGATCCAACTGGTGAGTGATAAGACTCACGCTGGAGGAAATACCCTCCCTGCCTACCCAGGTAAGAGCATCCCCTAAGGGCAGACAGGTGCATCCCCTGAGCGATGATCAAGCTGGTAGGGGACTCATATTTGTGTATCTGGTGAGTATACGAGGTATGAGGCCATTATGGCCATAGCGTGTTACTCTGCCAACTGGTGGGATACCATAGGCAAAAGGCAATATTGTCATTTACAAGTAAATGCTATTTTGTAAGTCCAGATACAGGACCCCTTTCCAAGTATTTAGAGTACATTTAAGGCACCCACACAGGCTGCAAAGAAAGGCTCTTCCCTGTTTTGTTGTGAAGGATGGTTAGAAAAAAATAAAATACTCAAAAAACAGAGGCTTCAATTAGAAAAAAATGAATCCATATGCCAATGTGCACACTAATAATGACATGCTTTTGTGATGGATAACTTAAAATACTAAGCACGAAGAAATTTACAAGACTGACTACAAGATATGGTTGTGTAACTTCATAAGACACAGCTTTATTCAGTTCAGCTTTGGCTGCTGTGATTTTAGTCCATCTCTTTCCAAAGCCTGCTCCCACTCCAGACATTCTACCCAAGACTCTGTCTTGACCTGCCATAAGTCCAGCAGGGTAGTTACTTATCGCAAAACAGGTCTTCACTTTTTTTCTTTCCTATTATCAGCTCACTGAAGGGAGGAACCCTCTCCTCAGCATTGAGCTTTGCACCCCTGTGCCTCCACCCCTGTCCCTGTTGACCAGCTAGGGTCAAAAGAGAAAGGAAAAGAAATTTGAGGTCCAGACTTTCATACAGCTCCTGACACTGCCAAGTCTGAATTATGTCCTTAACAATGGATACTCTGGAATTTTGCATATAATTTCATACTTTTAAATACCTTTTACACTGTTATAGCCCTGCAGTAGCAGAAACCATACAGCAGTATACCCACATGTTTATAAATGACATTTCTTCAGAATAAAAGTAAAACTTTAATGCCATGCTATAAAAATGCCAGAAAAATGTCTGAAGACCACCCAACTAAACCAAATTCAAGTTGATGTGTGTTTTATACATGTGTGTATATGTTCTAACATTTATTGAGGGTATACCGTGTGCCAGGCACTGTGCTAGGGGTTTTATTAAATGACATTACAGGGGCGCTTGGGTGGCTCAGTCGTTAAGCGTCTGCCTTCGGCTCAGGTCATGATCCCGGGGTCCTGGGATCGAGCCCCACATCGGGCTCCCTGCTCCGCGGGAAGCCTGCTTCTCCCTCTCCCACTCCCCCTGCCTGTGTTCCTGCTCTCGCTGTGTCTCTCTGTCAAATAAATAAATAAAATCTGAAAAAATAAATAAATAAGATTACAATAGTAAAACTTATCAGATCATAAGCCTTCCTTTGTTCCTCCCTCTAGCCTGCTTTTTTACTCTTCTGCAGCACTTAAGTCTAGACCAATCAATTTTCATGTGACACAGGGAAAACCATCCATGTAACTATAATCTGACTTGTCAGGTTGAGAATTACAGCAAAAGAGAACAAATTTGGTTTTTGCATCTTTGACTTTCTAATGAAGCTTCATTGGTACTTCTACTTTTAACCCAAGAGTTTGGGATTTTTCTCATTATCCTTTGCAAAGACTTCCCTACAAACCCCTAGGACAGGAAAGAGAGCAAACTGAACCAGCACTCCAAAACAGGTTGAAAGCAGCATTGTTTTTCATGGATAAATGGGGCAGGAGAGTGCAGGGGGAAGAAACAGCATGAATGCAAAGTCCCCGAAGCAGAAGTGCACTTAGCATAGATAAGCAATGGCCAGGAGGCCACTGAGAAGGGCACAGGGAAGGGGAAACTAACTGGCCAGCGCCTGGGCAGGAAAGGGTGTGGGATAAGGGAGGAAGTCACTGAAGAGTGCTAAACACAAAATGGACATGGTCTGATCTATATTTAAGTCACTCTGGGGGCGCCTGGGTGGCTCAGTTGTTGGGCGTCTGCCTTTGGTTCAGTTCATGATCACAGGGTCCTGGGATCAAGCCCCGTATCGGGCTCCCTGCTCAGCGGGAAGCCTGCTTCTCCCTCTGCCTGCCGCTCCCCCTGCTTGTGTTCCCTCTCTCACTGTGTCTCTCTCTGTCAAATAAAATAAAAATAAAACCTTTAATAAATAAATAAAGTCACTCTGGCTACTGAGTGGAGGACAGACCATAGGAGCAAGGGTGGAAGCAGGGACACCAGTTAGAAGGCTATGGCAAATTTAAAGGGGGAAAAAATGATGAGAGTAACAGCCAATTTATATAGAGGTTACAATGCGCCAGGCACTATTCCAACTGCTTTACATATATAAATATATTTCTCCTTACAACCTTACTAAGTCAGATCAGATAACTGGGACCTATGGAGATGTTACATAACTTGTCCAGGGTCCATGCTCTTCTCAACTAGATGTTCCACCCAGCTGATGAGAGACTGACCAGCATAGCAGAGTGAAGTGATGAGAAGTAGTTGGCTCCAAGGAATATTTCAACAGTAGAACCGATAGGGTTCCTGGATATATATGTTATGTGCAGCATCTCACTTTTAATTTGATTCTCATGACACTCTAAGGCATGGAGGCAGGCAGGACTGCTAGCATCATCTGATGAATGAGAAAGCCAGCTGGAGTGGTGGATCAAGGTCATCCTACTGGGCAAGGCCAAGGTTCACTGGGCCACAGGGCTTGTGACCCCACATTCTCTCCACCCACCAGCTTCTTTGGGAACTACAGATATTTCAGTTCTGTGATGATGAGTGTTCTGGTAGAGCTTCCTCATTTGTCTGTCTTCCCAGCTCTGCCAGGAGAGAAGTTTCTCTCACTTAGTGGCACCTCCACCGACAGCCTGCAGCATCAGCCCTTGGATGACCCCTCCTATCTGGAAAGAAGTTTTGTTTGTCGGTTCCGCTGCCTGCTGGACAATTCTTCCGGGTTTCTGGTAATCACACTGTCCTTACAGGCTCAGGAACTTCCTATACCAGTGCTCTGCCCAGATGGGACACTGCCCAAGGGTTGAGCCAGGCTTCCTCACCATCCCAGGATGGTGAATCTGGCCTTCAGCTCACTGCCATTTCAGAATACCAAGTTGTCTTTTGAACCTTCCTCTGCCTGGTTAAGATATGGGATTTGTTTACTTGGGATTTAGTTACACCTGCTACCTATAGTGCATCCTGAGTGGAGATCCCTGGTGAACCCAGGATGTTAACATCCACCTTCTTCACCATCCCCCCCCAAGTCAGCTGAAAGTGCCTACCAATTCCTGGATACCCTCTCACAGCGCAATTAACTCTGCAGCCCTTTGAAAAAGGCTGTGTGGGTCAGGGACTGAAGGGAGGACTGAGAAGCCATGAAAAATAATCAGGGCCTAATGGGCAGAGCAGAATGAGGAAGCTCCAAACCTGCACACACCTATACTGAGTCCTACCCGTTCAACTACAAGGAGGGCAGGGGACCCTATGAGTTCCGTAAGAGGAAAGTCATATCGACTATTTTAGCTACTTAGCATCCTCTTCTCTTTTCCCTTCTCATTATGGTTGGGGTCTCCTTTTTCTAGGAGTTGAACTTCCATGGCCATCTTAAGTTCCTCCCTGGACAGAACAATAGGTCAGAAGATGGTATCCTCCTGTCTCCTCAGCGCACCCTGTTTGCCATTGCAGCGCCTTGCCAGCCACTCACCATCCTGGAGCTCCAAGACAAGACATTTCTTTTCCAAACAAAACACAAATTGGATTTCACACCTATAGCCTGTGATTCCAGGTACATCCCTCTGACCAGAAATCATGACTCCTAGAGAACCAAGGGTGCTCCCAGAGCAGTTATGGTCCAAATCCTGAGTCTAGAACCAAAGGCAAGGCAAGAACAATTGGCCGATCCTGTCCAAACAGGCTCTGGAATGAGAGTTAGCAGAGAAGATGCCGCTTACAAGGGCAAGGGAGCAAACCTTCCACGTAGGCGCACGCGGGTATGATGCAGAAAGCAAATCCCAGGTAATACGTGTCTCCCTCTCAGAGACTTCCGGTAACAAATCATAGTGAACCCCCAAGAAGTCCCACTATGAAAAACCTAACTAACTAGGTTTGACCCAGTTGTTCCCAAATTTTGACCAGTGAACCTTTCTGGGGGGAATCAGTTAACATGCTACGAGGCCAGTGCCCTTAGAACACACTCTAGAAAGCCCTGGCTTGAGGGCAAGTGCTTCGGCGTATCGTTAGAGCTGGAACTTGCAAGTTTTATTTCCTCCTCAAAGATGCTGGGGAGTCAGGGCCCTTTGATGAAGGCAGTGGAATTCGCCCTCAACAAGGTTAATGTGGGTACTGACCCCCGTTCCACAGCACAGGTTTAAAGCAGAATTTGGGGACAGGGCACCACGCTCCCGCCAGCGCGGAGGCCTCTTCGAGGTGGGCTCCAGCCCCGAGGCTAGCAGAGGCGCCCCCTCCGGACCCGGACGGCCCAGGGAAGGCCGCTGCCGGCGCCCGGGCGCAAAGCTGGGCGGCCTGCAAAGGCTCCCCGTGAGGCGCTGGCAGGGCTGTAAGCCGAGGGGGTGCCGCTTCTCCTCCGCAGAGGCAAGCTGGTCCTGGGCTACACCGACAGCGAACTCTGCAGGACGGGCTCCGGCTACCAGTTCGTCCACGCGGCCGACATGACGCACTGCGCCGAGAACCACGTGCGGCGTGAGTTCGGGAGGCGCCTCCCGCCTGCTGCCGCAGCGCCGGCTGCAGAGGGCTGGGGGGCGGGGCCCGGGGCTCCGACGCGCGCGCAGTCCGTCCGTCCGTCTGTCTGTCTCGGCAGTGATGAGGACGGGCGAGAGCGGCCTCACGGTGTTCCGGCTGCTCACCAAGGAGGCCGGCTGGCTGTGGGTGCAGTCCAACGCCCGCCTGCTGTTCCGCGGCGGCCAGCCCGACTGCATCGTCGCCCGACAGCGGGCCCTGACGTAAGTAGGGCCCGGGCGGGAAGTGAGGGCCCTGTCGTAAAGGAGGGCCCGACGTCTGCGGTGCCCGACGGCAGAGCGCGCTGACAGAAATGAGGTTCTTGCGCCCTCCCCGCGGTGAGGACCCTGTCGTAAAAGCGAGGTCCCGACGTACGTGCGATCCTGAAACAAGACGTAAATAAAAGCCCCTAAGGGAGGCCCCAACACAGATGCGGGCCGGAAGGGCGGGCCCGAAGGGAGGGTCCCACGCAAATGCGGGCCGGAAGGGCGGGACCGAAGGGAGGGTCCCACGCAAATGAGGGCCGGAAGGGAGGGCCCAAGGAAGGGTCCAACGCTAATGTGATTGCGGATCAGTCAAGATTGTTGTCAATATATCGCTGTATTTCCTTCAGGTATGTTTTGACTCATATTTAAGTTTTATACTTGAAATTATATTCTATATATAGTTTTATATATATATATAAGTAAATGGAATCCCAGAAAAAGAACCGAGAGAGTGGGCAATATATCTATACCTATATCTATCTATCTTTTTATGTGCGTGTGTGTATACATGTTTGAAGAAATAATGACCAGAAACGTCTCCGGTTTGGGAAAAATTATAATTACAGATTCAAGAACCTCAGCAAATTCCAAGCAGGATAAATACAAAGAAAACCACACCAAGGCATATTCTGGTCAGATTGTTGAACACCAAAGCTAAAGAGAAAACTTTAAAAGCAGTCTAAGATAAAAAGCACATTACATACAAGAAACAATTCAGATTATTGTGGACTTCTCAACAGAAAAAATGGTGATCAGAAAACATTGGAACAATATCTTTGAAAGTGCTTTTAAAAAATTGTCAACTCTGAATTCTGTGAACAGTGAACATATCCTTCAAAAATAATAGCAAACGAAGACATTTTCATTAAAGGAAAAAAAATCCAACAATTTATTGTCAGTAGATCTGCACTATAAGAAATGCTAGAAGAGGGCGCCTGGGTGGCTGAGTTGGTTAAGCGACTGCCTTCGGCTCAGGTCATGATCCTGGAGTCCCGGGATCGAGTCCCACATCGGGCTCCCTGCTCAGCAGGGAGTCTGCTGCTTCCTCTGACCCTCTTCCCTCTCGTGCTCTCTATCTCCCATTCTCTCTCTCAAATAAATAAATAAAATCTTTAAAAAAAAAAAAAGAAATGCTAAAAGAAATATGTCAGGTGGAAGGGAAATGAAATCTACTAAGAGTTTGAACCTTGAAAAGGGAGTGGACAGGATGAGAAATGGTAACCATGTGGATAAATATAAAATACTATTTTTCCTTTTTGAAAAATACATGTGACTGCTTAAGCCAAAAATATAACATAGCATGGGATTTATAACATATATAGATGTAATATATATGACACCTCTAGGATAAAGGATAGGTGTTAGGAGTACATGGACCATTGCAAGAGGCATATGTTTTATGTAAAGTGGCACAGTATTAATTCTAAGTAGACATTGAAATCTTGAGGGTATATTTCATAATTTCAAAAGCAACCATTAAAAATATAATGCAAAAGATAGAACCAAAAATACAGTATAGAAGTGAAAATGAATTTCTTAAAAAATTAATGTATCTAGGCAGGAAAGGGGTGAATAGAGGGGAAGAAGGGGGGACAAACAAATATAATATAAAAGACCCAAATCCAGACATTGCAATAATGCCACTAAATGTTAATGGATAAAACACGCCAGTTAAAACACACAGATTGTCGAAATGGTTTTTTAAAAAAGCACTCAACCATATGCCTTCTACAAGAGATATATTTTTAGTATATGTGCTGTTGAAGCAAGCACAAGAAATATATTTTTAAATAGTGACACAAGTTGAAAGGAAAAAGACATAAAATAAGATATGTGGTACAAGCAGTAAGTACAAGAAAGCCAGAGTGGTGGTATTCATATCATACAAAGCAGACTTAAGGACAAAGACTATGACCAGAGATCTTAAGGTGAGATACCAGCTTCTCTAAAGGTCCCTCCAGTGATGGAGTTTCCTATGCCCACAGCATCCTGGTCAGCTCCTGTCAAAGACACTCCATGTTAGTTCAGTTTTCCTTTGTGGACCTACAAACCAAATGTGAGATTCCAAGTGGAGTCAGGCCAGCAAGTGAAGGTTTTTCACCTTGCTGAGCGTGGTGTTGACATGGCTGTCGGGGCGGCCCTATAGCAGCCATATACCATGTGTCTTTTGGAAGGGAAGAAGGGAGAGGAGGAAGGAGGGGGAAATTATTTTTCACAGTGAAAAACAGTTGCATGTATCATACTTGCATAATGATTCTTTTCGACGTAAACTTGAAGTTTAGGGAATTTCTACATGTGTTTTTGGAAAACTCATCCCACAAATAAGCAGTTTCCTCTGAGACTGCTTCAGAATTCAAGACAGAAAGTATTGGCCAAGATTTTATACTCCAAAGAATGCAAAAGAGAAGCAAGTTCAATATTATGTCTTCTCCCTTGGATGGAAAAACCAGAACAGATGATGTCCAGCGCCTTGCTCACTTGTTCAGTTACTTGGCCATTACTGTCCCCTGACCAGGAGACTCCCTTTCTCACTCATATACCCATTCTCAGATGTGGTCTTGTGTTTTCTTAACCACAGGAATGCAGAGGGGGAGGAGCACCTGCGCAAGAGGGCCCTGCAGCTGCCATTCATCTTCACCACAGGGGAAGCCATCCTGTATGACAGCAGCCCCCTGAGCCCTGTGACTGCCCCCCCAGCCAGGAAGCAGATCAGGGCAAGGAAGGGCACCCCCACTGGTCAGGGCCCTGTGCACCCAGGCTCTCTTCTGGGAGCCATGATGCAGCAAGATGAGTCCATATACTTGTCCTGCATTGCCCCAACCCCACAAGGCTCACTCTTGGAGAGGTGGAGGTCCAATGACAGTCATGAGTGCAAGGAAGAGCAAGAGGAGGAGGAAGACCACTCCCTCCTGGCTCTCACTGAGACCCTGCTGGAGAAGGACACAGAAGAACAGCCTGATCTCTGCTCCACTCTCCAGCACCTGGGGGTCACCGACCTCAGCCAGCGTCTGTGGGAAGAGAGCCTTCTCAGGGCTGACTCAGGCCCTGCAGGATCTCAGAATTGCCACCCACTACCACCCAGCCAGGGAGGGGGCGCCCCCGGGGGAAAGGAAGTGCTTTTTCATGACAGTGGGAATGTGGCACTGCCCCCACCACCCAGCACAACTGCGCCACAGACCCTGAAGCCACAGCCTTCACTGGGCTCGGGCCAGCTCAGCATGGAAGTGACTCCACCTCAGCACATGGGCACAATGCCTGGCTACCTTCACACACACACCCAGCATTTTCTCATCTCTGGCCCCACACTCCAGAGTTCTCCACAGTGGCAGCTTCAGCACAGCCAGGATATGCCTTTGAATTTCAGGATATGCCAGAAACCAACAATATTTGACCTCAGCCCCCTCCCTGAGGCCTCCAGCCCCAGCCAACCTGTCCAGGTGTTTCAGCCAAACCACACATCTTCACTCCCTTTAGGAGAAAATGTCCCTGGACACCTGGCTCAGCCAGGTGCTCGTGTTCTGGATTTTTGCAAAGAACCCGTGACCTGGACAGCCTCACACAGTGGTCAGTGTCAAGAGCCCTTGATCACCTCAGATCCCACCTCCTGTGGCACCTATCCTTTGGAAAGCATTTGGGATTCCCCCATCCAGGGCCAGCCAGCACTAGTCCCTGTGGAGGTGGAGTCAGGGCAGGTAGCAAGGCAGGCCCAGCCTGACCCCTTCCACCACCTTTGGTCGACCATGGCCAACCTGTGCCCTCCATCGGCAGGGCCAGCCAGTGACATTCCTCCTAACTTGTGCTGGGGTTTGCCCCCATCTGTGCAGGGAGAAGCAGGTAACCCAAAGGACACAGCTGGGAGTCAAGAGCACCCACCCCACTCCCTGGTGGTGAGCCAGTTCTCGGGGAGCTCTACCTGCCCTTCCCAGGAGCTCCTGCATAGACCCTTGGCTATGCAGGACTCTTACAGCATGGACCCCTGCCCAGCTGCCAAGCAACAGCAGTGGGTACAAATGGGGCTACAGACCCAGGAAGCTTGTGGGCCAGTGAGAGAAGGGTTGCCAACTGCCCAGCCCTTGGGTGGCTGCCCAAGAGATGCCATCCCCCAGGCCCTGAAGCTGAGCCCCTTCCTATGCTCCCTAGGCATAGGCAGCAGCCAAGGCAAGAGCCCAGCTGAAGCCACAATGCACAGCAAGGACAGACGGGTCATCGCAGCCCCAGGGGCTGTGGGGAGACCCCAGGTGCAGTCCAGCCTGACCCTGCCTCACTGCCCTCCTGACTCTGCCTGGCCACCTGCATCTATGCAGGGCAGCCGTGACATCTAGCTCCAGGTAAGTGTTGGCAAGCAGGACCACGGGGATTTGTGGGTAGCAGGGAGGGGCACTCTACCTCACTGGTCAAGTGCAGAGCTGCTGGCAAATCTGGATGTGAGGGGGCATCTGCCCAGCTGGCTAGTTTCGGAGGGGGATCCCACCAGCCCAGCTGGTCCGAAGCACAGCATTACTGTGAAGCTGCAGTGCAGGGATACATGGAGGGATTCTGCAAATGTAGCAGGTCACTGTCAGTGTTGGTCGACTGAGGCTAGTAATGGTGGCAGGAGCGGCTTTACCCCTGGGAGTAGTGTGGTTGTAACCTGGTGGGCCCTCCAGCTGGGCATCACTGAGCCACCTGGACACCTGCTTTGTAATGTAATTTAGCCCAGCTTTGGACCCCCAGAGTTGGATTGGTTGTATTCTGAATTTGACACGCTATTCGGCTGTGCTCCCCCCAGTACCATTTCCAACACCAATAAGCAGGTTAGTGCTCAAGCATTGCTCACTGCCTGGTGCTGGCAGGGAATGAGGACACACATACAGATCCTGCAAATAATTGTAATTCACACCCTCAAATGCAGCTTCACATAAAAGTCACACCAGCAGTGTTGTGACCCCTCCCACTTCACACAGAGGAGCAGATGTGCCTTTCCGGTGACATAGGGCTGCCCTCAGGGCTCAGCTCAAATCTGGTTTTCCTGAACCCCAGGCAGCCCGATATAGCTTCACTGGGAGCTCCCCTTCACTTCTCTGGATTTTCTGCCCCTTCTCATGTCACACTGCCACCTCTCATTTCTGGCATCCTCGGGCTCCCTCAGCTTACACCCCCTTTCCAATTTTTTATTTTCCAACTGTTGTAAGTTAGAAAATCAGAAGACCGAATCTGTTAGACTTCTATCTGAAACCAAAGTAATTCCTAATTAAAGCCTCAAACTTACATCTTTTATAAACAAGTATCGATTTTAGAGTCCTTGGGTTAACCCTTGTCTTCTGTAATTTTGTTCTAACTGCTCTAAATGTTTCCCATTTTCCCATCAGCAGTGTGACCAAAACAAAGTGCACAGTACCATACCACTTGGGATTCCAGGCCCAAAAGGAAGCACGTTTTCCTCCAAATTCTGACTCAGAAAGACTGTATTGTGCTTTTTACCCCTGTCTGTGGACATGATCTGGAGTCTTAACTACTGACATTTTCCCTGGAATTGAAGTATCTTAAATTTTTCATATTGCTGGGTGAATATTTAACTTTTTTCTATGTGTATAAATACACACTTATCTGAAAGCTTATTCTCTGGATCCCAAAGAGTGTGTGTGTGTGTGTGTGTGTGTGTGTGTTTTACTTCATTTCATTCTGTGTACTTTATACTCAAGACACATATGGAATTCTCATCTTTGTTTAAAAAGTAACTTTTGAATCACAAAAACATTAATAGGAAAGGGACACTATGGACATATTCCCACATTTGCCTTCACGATGACACTTCCAAGCTCAGAGCTGAAGCCAGCATCAGGCAACCTGTTTGCAATCAGGGCCATCCAGACACATGGTTCTTACAGCATGGTGACATGCTGACAGCCACACGTGGGGAAGGGATATGTGCCCTTTGGCCTGGACCCCTGGAGAGGGCTTGACTTTCACCCAGTATCTTGGACACAGGAGAAGTGGGTCCTCTGTGGAGCCCATGTGCAGGAGGAATGGTGTTCTGCCCTAGAGGATGGCATGGGAACGTGGTAGATGGAAGATCCATACAGTGGTACACGTTTGAAGCACAGGGTGCATGCCCCTCAGTCTCCCAACAGAGCAAAAGGAAAAAGGTTGGCGGCAACTGCTTCTCCTTCCATAAAGGACTCAGAATGGTTGAGGGTTATAGTAGCACTTCCACTGACTTCTGTGGCTTCCACCACAGGACTCATTGTTCAGGAGCTAAATGGACCAGATGTCATCAAGTATGACCACCATTGGACCTGCTCACCAGTGTCACCCAGAACCAGGCACATAGTAGGTGTTTAATGAATGTGCATTGTATGTATGCATGAATGAAAGCACAGGTGAAGAAACCACAGCACAGAAACACAGAGGCCCAGGAACCAGCCCAGTCAGAACCCAACAGAAGGACCCTTCTGATGCCACCAGGTCCACCAGCAGTTACCAGAAACCGTGTGACCTGCACAGGGCAAGCCACCATGTTCATTTTCCACAGCATCAGATCGGGTGATGGTTGATGTTTCATGTATGGAATGTCTGCCATTTTGGACCCTTGGACCTAAAACACTGAAGCATCAACTAAGACCCTGCAGCCTGACAAATGGGAGAAAACACACACAGAAGTGTTCACCAGTACTCATAAATCCTTCCACCTGCTCTCTCAAACCAAAAATTACAGCCTCTCATCATGGGGAAAGGGGAAATTCTCTAATCTCATTTAGAATCTGTACATGGCAGTATGTCTTAACAAACCATGGTCTATTTGGAGTACTTTTTTAATGTTTTTCTGTCCAAAGTAAACAGTTTAATCACAAAACAGTGCATGTTCTTGGACACTCTGAGGCCTGCCTTGATGTGAAGAGTTGTCCTTCCATGGTATTTTCAACTGGGTCACAAGTTTTTTAAAACTACTTAAAATGTTCCGTGTGAAGGACAGACTCATTACATGTGTAACAATCTGTGCATTCCATTTCTCTGTGTTGTTTATATACTACCATGGACTATAATGAAACACTGGCAGTCAATGCACAGCTCACAAGAATATGTCTGTTGTTTCATTCATATATGGAGTAGCAAATTACCACAAAACGTAGGCTATTAAAACAACAATCATCTCTTTGCTTATTATTCTGCAATATGGTGGGCTCCACTGGATGGTTCTGTTATGGGTGTCACCTGCATCGTTCATGTGACTGTGGTCATCTGGCAGCTCAGCGGGGGCTCACTCACATGTCTGGGAGCTTGCTGGGTGTCAGTCAAGCTCCTTGGTTCCCTCCCTTGTGGCCTCTCCAGTGAGACACTAGGATTTCTTGGCTGCAGCATGCTCCAAGAAGTCAAGCCCCCGTGTGCAAGTGCTTATCAAGCCTCTGCTAGGGCAGGTGATCAAGCCAAGTCACATGGCCAAGGCCAGAATCAAAATGGAGGGTAATCAGGAACATAACACTGGGAGGGAGGCTTCATTGACACCAACCAACAGTCGTCCTCTCCCGCAACACTCTTGGGAGCAGTAATCTCCGGTAACAGGTGAGGGGCATTCACCACATCCATGTGAACATGAGTCGTCCAGAACTTGCCCCAGAAAATGTCTTTCAGGGACCAGTGTACAAAAGTCTATTTCATGGGTGGTGAAGCTGGGCTGGTCCTTGGAGACAGCAACCCATGCAGTAGGAGGGTGGGGAGGAGAGCTCTGTCCTATCTAGGCACAGGGTGCTCTTCTGGAGGAACTTCAGTTGGGCTAAGCTTGGGCATGGGGACTTCCTTTCCCACTTCCTGTCACCTCTCGCTCTTCCCTTCTCTGGAGCCTGGGGTCCCTCCTCCTGCCCCAACCACCACCACACCCCCCACTGCCTCCCCCACGTCTGGATGAGAAGTCAGGGGCAAGGAAGACACTAGGTGAGCATCTAACTGAACAGAGCCCACAAAGATAAGAAAGGCTGGTGGGCCCTCAACCCGACCTGAGCATTTACATTTTTAAGAATGAAAAATATTAT